AGAGTGACTTTACCAAACTAAATATAATATGAAAAACCTAAGTGGGGAAAAAAAAACAAACTAAAACCAAACAACCAAAACCAGCAAAGAACGTCTTCCAACTCAGCTATTTCCACAAATCCTTATTTCTCCCTCTGTTCCTACCTGGTCTCAAGTAATGCCGCTTGTTCAAAACACTATGGCTATAATCAGGTCAATTAGGTCACAACTAGGAAGAAAACTTCCTTGTATTTAGCAAACATCAGCAAAGACTAATTATTACTGATACCAATTAAAAAAAAAAAATCCTAGGCATTTCTCTGCATAAGGCCTTTTTAAATTGAAATCTAAAAATAGACAGACAGACAAGAAGACGACTTAAACAATTTTATCAGCGGTTGATTTATTTCAGCTTTTTGCTCTCCCTGGTCGCAGTTCAGTGACAAGACGACGACTTAAACAATTTTATCAGTGGTTGATTTATTTCAGCTTTTTGCTCTCCCTGGTCGCAGTTCAGTGCAACCCATAAATAAGTTAGGCTGGTGAAGGAGATTGAATTTTTGAGGCCAGAACAGTAATTGAGGAATTGGAACAGCCTGGAGGTTGAAATACCGTCTCCTGGGACATAAGCCTTTGGACCTATTAGCAGCTGTCTATATTGCTTTTCCAGCCATTGACACATATGACCATGTCAACATATTGAACTGATTTATGTTTCTTTGTGTTGCAAAAGGACAGATCTTGTATGTGTTCTGGGCTCCATTGTGCTGATACTCTAAGACTAAGAACATCTCAAGTCAGTTAGCTACGTAAATTACAACACCTGCCAACATTTTCCTGCAAACTAAAAGTTTCCAGTCACCATCAAGTTTCTCTCAGGAACTGCCTTTCAATATTTAAAAGGCATCCAACCAAATCTAATATTTATGAGGTCAGAAAAAAAGGTTGAACAAAGCTTTAAGCTGTAAGCTTTTACAGTATAGTTACAAGAAAAAAAATAATCTTATTTCCAAAATGTGTTTACTGTATCTAATACCTTTTGTTTCTCAGCTAGTTTGCGAAATTACCGTTATCCACATAATCTCAAAGATTTTTCTCTTGCCAAGTACAAAAAAGTCAGATCTTTCAAAAATATGGGAAGGCCCAATTTCCTGTGAAGAAAATCTGCACCAGTTCAGCACAATTCAATTATACAGAAAGCAGTAATTTTCACTTTTTCCACACTGTACTTGTCAGCACTTGCAAAGGAAAGACTGAAAGGGAAGCCTGAGAATGTTTTTGTTTTTCTTAAAACCAAAACCAAAAAACAAACCAAAAAAGCCCACCATCACCCACCACTTCATTTTTTCAGTCGTTCTCTCAGGATCAAAATTTCACAAGAAAACAAGAGACTCCACAGACAACTGAAGCAACAAGCGACGGATTGCAAAACCAACCCATGACCAAAGGCAAAAAGAAGTATCTCCAGGTCTTACTTCATATGAAAACATGGAAATGACCTCAGCAGAAGCGCAGGCCCACAGAGGACACCTGACCTCTCTGTGGGGCACAGTGGCTGTTTTGGGGCAGCCTCGGGGGCTTTTTTACCTCAGGAATGGGCCCCGCCCCACCCGCCACCCACCCAGCACCTCACTTGGTGCTGCCACCACATCGCTGCTCCTCCACCTTTGGCAATAGATGCGTGTTTGATTCACAGCTCAATACGCAGAAATAAATACTTTTCCCTCCCTTCCTAACTTAGCATCCCACAAAACCTTAAGCAAATGTCATTTCTAAGATGGCGTCTTTGAGCGTGGGCCACAGGCTTCCCAGGCATGACAGAAATGGTTCCCCAGACAGCACCCCTGAGCAGTGGGGTTTCGGATAGTTATGATGACAACACACACCGAAAAAGAACGAAACTTGATAAAAGATCTAAAAGGCATCTGTGGGGTCTCAGGGCAGTGCTGTGAACCCCGCAGGGGCCGCAGGCCTGCTCAGGGCTCTGCAGCACAAGGAGGTGAGGCAGCAGCCAAAATGTGTTAGCACGAGGTTAACCTCCCCCTGAAAACAAAGCCAGCATTTAACTTGAAATCATTAAAGTGATGGATTAAAAAGGATAAGGGGAAATATGAGAAAAAGTCACTTCATAAATCACTATTAAAATCCACATTTCCACCTTTTGCACAGTCTGTAAAAAAAGAAAAACATACATCTGTTTTTGTTTTGTAAGAAAAGATGATGGCAACTGAAACCAAAAAGCATTTCTTAAAAATAGAGTATCACATTTGTTCTGATCGAATTACTGGAATACTGGAATTAAGCACTAACAGTTATTCATAAATAAATAATTTTTCTGATTAAATGTTGAATCAAATGGACACATCATCATCATCTGTCTTGTAACAGGCTGTACTCACAGCACCTTGTGCTCCGCTCCTATTAGATCAACACAGACAGGATCAGTGATTCGGACATATGACACTAAAACAGAGATCTCTAATGAATAACCATGTGCTGCTCATAAAATACCGTCTCTCCAACTTGCTCTTGGGGGAACTCATGGCAGGTCCTGCCTCCCCAAAGGATCGGGCACTGCTCAGCCCCACAGGCAGGAGGCGGATGAGGGCTTCCCATTTGCACGTCACCGCACTCCTCCGCAAGACAGTGTCTGAGCTAGAGCTGTTCAAGTGGAAAGAGGAATGCATTTACTTTCCGATATTTGGCAGTATTTCTCCGTGACCACCGGAATACTGCTCAGTTGGACATTTTCCCTCCGAGTCTTGTAGACAAAAATCCAAAATCTAAAGGAATTTTTGGTCAGCTTTGACTTAGTTGAAAATTTTCATCCTAAGCAAGCAAAGAAAATAACAGCTCTTCACCAAAACGTCTTTGAGTAAGAATAATTCCTGTTAGAAATGTGGTTTGACAGCCAGCCCCCTAAAAGAAAGAAAAAGAAAAACCACCACTCCTCCACAGCTGAGCAGCTCCTCGGGAAGGTCTCTGCATGCAGTGGTTTATGCAGGGATGTGCAGGACAGAGGATCACCAGCCCCATGTTGTTCTTCGGCTGCAGTTGTTCCCCCCCTCACCATGTGCTGTCTCAGCAGCACCCTGCTCCAGCTGACACAGACAAAAGAACAGGACACCATAGCAATTAAATTTAAAAAAAAAAAATCACAAGGGCACCTTCAGAACAGGTGCTGTAAGCATGTTACTCACGACAGATTTTTAAACTCAACTACCTCCTACATACTCACAAGGTGTATGCAGCAGGCTCCAAGTCTCTGCTTGTCAGGGAGATAGCCCACTGGCACAATGATGGACAATTTCAGTATTAACTTTCAAAGCCCTTGCTTGCAATTACACTATTATTACACGGGCTGTAATGAGGTACACAGGTTAAGCAACTCATACAACTGGCCGGACATTTACAATTTATGGTTGTAGTGTACTCCCTAAATGGCTCTTCTCAGCTGCTGCGCGACGACTACTTCACTTGCAGACCTTCACAGGAAAGGGTTAACAATCCCATACAGACACTTTTATAGTGCACACAAACAAGTACTGCAGTTCATTTAAAGATACATGGACAGAAAAACTACAGATATTATGTAATATAAATTATTTAATGCTAAAAAACCTCATATAGTAAAAGATTGTATATAAATACGACCTAACATCGAATGGGATTCATCGCCTTTCTCTGCTTTGCAGATTTACTTTACTATTTTTGGAGGATCTTTAAAACTCAAAAAAAAAAAAAAAAATCTGTATTGAGATTTTTAGATAAAGTATCCCACTTCAAGGATTAAGGACATCAAATACTATGGTAAAACAGGCCACTCAAAAAACACATTTCCCAACCTGAAATATTGAGTTAACTTGTACAGTCACACATAAACATACTAATGAACAGTCTGTGAAGGTGTCCCTTCACTATGTCCAAGGATGATACTGTCGCATCTTCGCGATTTCACCCCATTGACATATGTTTTCTGGCCAACTTACCATATGCTTTTGAGATGTTATTTATATTACAGTTTACAGGGGAAATACTAATATTGTACATCTAAAATACTTATCGGCTATCACCTTATCAGCAAATTTTAAATTATAGCAAAACTTTAATTTCATGAAAATATGAAGGAATTATGCATTTTTGTTACTAGAATTCAGTTATTTTTATCTCACTAAAATAAATCAGTTTTCGAAATATCTAAACATAATTCATAAATCAAGAGATGAAAAACTGAGCACCATGCCTGTTTATTTCACACACTCCCCATTGCCCCTTTTCATATGTTCAAATATGATTCTTTTCTGAACTACACAATACACACATAGGTGGTAGGCATGAGGAAGTCTTCCAGTGCTTGATGTAGCACATATTCAAGTTTGGAATAGAACCACAAATTACTATTTTTCAGGATAACTAGCACTGACAAGAAAGTAAACACTATTTTAAATGCCTTTGAAAGGCTTCTCTGATCACACTGTTGTAGATAAACTGCTGACAGTTTAAAAAAGCGGAGTGTTTATCTCAGTACTGCTGACACACTGAATAAATGCCACCACAATATGCAAAATACCTACACTTTAACATCATCTTTTCTATCAAAATAATCTTGGGTGTTAGGTAAAAATAGTCAAAAGTGTGACTTATTGAGCATCTCAGTCAGCCTGATGACATGTCAGATTTTAATTTTGGTAGGTCAGGAGGATGGCAGGTCCAACTTCAGACTGGATTCTATCACCATTACTATTTTCCAAACAGCAGTAAGTCCTACATCAATGTTAGCTTTGCCAGGCTTGTCAACTGCAATGTAATCCTGGGGAAGCCGACTTAAAAAGCAGATAAAACAAGTAATATATGCATTCATAACAAACTGAAAAATTTTCCCAATAATGAGAGTGAAAACAAGTCTGGACTGTGCTGGACTGATGAAAAATAATCCATCCCGCCCCACCTTGTAACCATTAAGGTAGATTTTTTATTTGCTTTTACCACTACGAAAGAACAACAGACAAAATAAGAACAGCTCAGGGCCGACACGTTTTATTCCTTGAATTATCAGGGAAAATGTTACCCAGAAAGCAAGCGTAACTTTCCAAGGAGCACATAGTATCTCAAACTTTATGCCTTATTCTCCATGCTGCTGACAAGGTTTTCTCAAATTACATAATTGTAAGTACTGCCCAAACCAATATCCGTATTATTTTTTATAAAACCAAAAATCATTCAAACTGTAAATGACCACTATTCATTAAAATGTATTTTTCTTCAACTGTAAGCACAGTTCTGAATGATGTCAGGTGAGGCAGTAAGGAACTGTTAACTGCTGAAGAGATATAAATAGAAAATAAAAGCATTTTAAGAGCCTTCTTCCATAGCCACATCCTCTTGTAGCTTCTGCACCATTTTGTCCTCCAGCTGTTTTGGTGTGCCTTCAAAGCAAAGAAAAAAATTAAATTCAAGATGTCTCTCTAAACCCAAATAACTGTTCTTCTTTGAACGATATATGTGTCTATTCTAGGTGAAACAGCCTAAATATATTGCTTAAAGAGTTGTTTAGGAGTAAACCCATCAAGCTTACAAGTATTTATTGCTAACCTCCAGCACCACCTAAAACTACTGAAGAATCGTTTTAACAGAAAAGCTGACGCTGTTTTTATGCAAAATCTGAAATGCAGTCAAACATATGTTTTCACCCAGTATGATGAACTTTGATATAGCTGGCAATACCTAGCAGAACCTTGCAAAGGACTATAAAAATGCATTACTTTTAACAGATCAATGGCCTTCACACATTAGTTTTTATATAAAGATTTAAGCCCTCCTGAATGCTGTGTTGGATGGCAACAGTGTTAACTCTCAATAATACTACCAAAAAAAAAAAAAAAAAAAAAAATCCAGGATTGACTTTTGATTCTGCTCTCTCTAAGGCCCAGCAGGAATTGCAAAACACTGAAAAGGTAGCTGCTGTTTGACAACCAGATGTACTACATGCTATTGTGCATCACTCATTTAACACAAGCAAAGCCAAAAGAAATAAACATTCAGGTTTATTCTTTTGAATTCAGATCTTTTTTCTTTTTCTTCCCTCAAAAAACAAGGGACAGATTAAACCAAAGTTTAAATATATCCTGACAAAACCTTGTTTCACATATATACAATCTTAGACTATAGTTAATGCAAACTGCAAGAAAAAAAACATAGAACAGACTTCTAGTTAACGTCTAATAGTATGCCACACCTACATTCACAGAGACAAAATCACTGGTAATTTTTATAAAACAGTAACTAATGGAAGCATATTTAACTTCTCTCCATTGCTCTACTCCATTAACTGTATTTTAAAAAATAAACCATCTTTACAATCCATTTTTATCAACATCATCTAACACAAGCTAGTACTTGTCATAGTTTAGAAACCAGAAAATTTTTTAGAGAAACAGGTTTCTCCAACTGAAAAACTCAGTTCACTAACAAAGAATATACATGATTATATCTGAACTAGGCACAGATTTTAGTGAACGTTTGTAAAATTACCATGATATTTAAAAAAATGCTAGGCTTACACTGAAGAAACAGTATTTTCATGTAAGCTTCATTATACGCAGTGAACTACAAAAAAACCTACTCACAATTAACAAACTCTGCTTTTTGAATTTGTTAAAGTACTGCATTTTATATCAATCAGTGGTCTAGTATGTTGAGTTCAAATAATCAATTCAAAGGGAAGACTTAGATAAAGGTATTGGTTAACAAACACGCAGTTCAGAGTGTGCCAGGTATTGAATGCAGTTTAAAATACTCAAATAAGGAAAAGAAAGGATGAACGCAGGACTAGATAAATAAAAAGGTACGCTTGATTCAGAACAAAGATACTGCTTACATTTAGCAGTAAGAGCTATTCTCCATATTCAATAAGACAAATTAATTGTAAGAAAAATGCACAGGATTATTGATCTGTAGAATTAGTCATAAAAAAAAAAAAATCAATATTCTTCATAAAACTGTATACACAAGTTAACCTAAGCAAACCAGGTAAAGCAAGTTCTTACCTGCATGTGGAGCACGAAGAAGGTGGATATTCTGTTTGACTTCTTTGATGTCTTCTGCCTTCTGCAACTCTTTGCTCTTCTTTAATCTGGGGAGGGGGGAAATGAAATTTAATTACCTTCAAAGAGGAGATGTATGTTTTTGTTTTAAGGTATGTAAACTGCAAATAACTACGATTATGAGGAAATAAAGGTAAAAAGTATTTGAAAACCAATTCAAGCATATACTGGATACAAAACCAGAAAAAAAGCCAGCACTATATCAACTCTTATCAGAAGTTTGTTTAAATCTAAGACTCCGTATTATGAACAAGGCAATGTAACTATTATCATCGAGTGCCCAGAAGCTACATTTCATTGGACAGCCAATAACGCGTAGTAGTTTGGTAGCACAGTGGAGCCCACTCAAGCTATTTTACCCCATCGCTTGGATGACTGTGTATGTACAAAGCAAATAACCATTTAAAACTTCTGATCATTATTTCTCTGGAAAGACTGACTATCCAATACAGATTTGCAAGAGCTCCCATAATACAAATACTTTTCCTCACCTGTTCGTAATAAATCTAGCTTGGCGTTTTTGCTTTATTTCCTCCACTCTCTTCATTGCATCAACTGAAATAAAGCAGAAGTTGTTTTAAATGTGCTGACAAACCTACAGTTGAAAGTACATGCTATTTTGCTGAGCAACACTACCAGTGCTCCATAATACCTCTATATCAGAGGCAACTCTTATACTATATAGAGGAAGTTACTCCTTCTTCAAAGAGCAGGGTAGGGGAATATTCTGTGTACCAACTATGATGAATTGTATTTAAAAACTTATTTATGCTTCCACTTCTGTGCCTACGCATATTTTCTACAATTAGCCACCACTACAAAAGACTCTTACTCCACTTGAAATCAGATGCAAGTTACCACCTTCTCCTTTGTGGCATTCATTCACGACATAAGTAACTCTTCCATTTTTTTAGCAATTGATTTATTAAAGAAATTGAAGTGGAATGAGTGGGAACAAAGAAACAACTGCATCAGTATAAAAGGCTTACACTGGGAGCCTCTTAAAAAGCTGGAGAACCACTGAGGTTTTTTGAAGATAATAATTCAAAATAGAGGAATGCCACACCTCATTTTCTAACCAGTTTCTGAAAAAAAATAAAATCAAGTGGAACTCCACACCTGTTCACAACTCAAACCTCCTCCACATGTAAGAATTTGGTCGTGATTCCAGTAATTTCAAACACAACTGCTACAAAGTGTCAATACTGTAAGAAGTCTTCTGAAAACATGTTCATGTAGAGTAAAAGTTCACTCCCCATAGTTCATCTTTTGGTTTTTTCTAAAACGACTCACCAGTCTTGTTCCACAACTCTCTCTGGTATTTCACTGGTTCATTTCTACGTTTTTCAAACTCAAATGAATTATCCTATATTAAGAAGAAGTAAATATAGATTATGTAGAGAAGCATATTTAGATCAACACATTCTTACTCTAGCACTCACTCATATGACTTAATTTTACGTGAATTTTTTTTTCCCTTTCAGAATCTCAGTTCCTACACTTTAACAACCTTTAGAGATTACTAAACCAGAAAGAAATAAAGTGGAGTGTTTGACCTCAAAGTGTCAGAAGCCACCATGATTTGTCTGAAGAGAACTATTTATCAAAACATCTCCCTCAGCTATTTTCTTTTTAGCAAGACAAAAGGAACAGAGAGGACCAATGTGGAGTAGGAAATACAGAGTAGACTAGACAGGTGGAAGGCAAAACTGAGAACGTGTAGTGTCAAAAGCATTTAATGGAGATCAAATAAGTTCCACTCGACAGCCTGTAATTTTGAAAAGGTTAAAAAAAACCAACACTATTTCATTTTAAGAATATTGAAACAATATAAAATCATTTGAAATTGTGAAATATTTCAATTGATGACATTGTGGTGTTTGGGGCAGCTGGGGGTTTTTCTCTTTGTTGGTTTTTTCCCCAAGAGTTTAAGGTGGAAAAACGGTTTCCTGATTTTTTTTTTTTTGCTAGGCATACTTAGCTTTACACCAACTTTATCTGAGGACTTTTCCCTGCCCAAAGGTTCTTTTTTGTAGTGGTAAAGCAGAATTATTAGCCCAGTTGCTAATCTTCACTTGAGCTAAAGACAGGTCCAATGAGAGAAACTACGCAGAATAGCAAGAAATGGCACGTACACACCCACAAGTCACACTCCATTGACAGACGAATGTTAGTTTTCACCATGGGATAGCATCAAGCAAAATATCCAAAATACAAGCTGTAGAGCACACCATATGCTAACGTGTACATGCCATTCTTATTCTTAAAAAAAAATTTTTTAAAATTACCTAAAATTCATTTTTAGCCAAGCGTGACACAGCACCACATCAATTCACTGCAGTTTATCCTAAACTGTGTCAGCTTTTACGTATTTATAATATACAGCATTGTTTTGTATTACGAGAACACACCACAAACAGTGAAAAGAAGTCTTGTGAGAGTACAAATGTTCAAAGTCTTCTAACCCACATGCATAGAGATAAACTACAGCTGTCTCATACTGGCCAATGGACCTTTTCAATTCCAAACATGAGGGGACAGAACGACCGACTCCTCGGTCATTCTGAGAGAGGGAATAAGACAGTCCTTCAGAAATACCTTGTGAACAACCACCTGGCAAGATTATGTCCTTCTTAATTTTTTTGTTTAATAAAAACCTGAAACCCAGGAAAACAAGTAAATATATTTAACCTCTATACAATGTACCTGTTTAAAGCAGCAAGAACTGTCACCGTCTTACAAACTACACTATTTCCCATTGTCACAAGCCTATTTAGACACTCTCCCCAAAACTGGCTTATGAAAGAATGGATACCAACCAAACTACAACAACGCACCATGTTTACATATTGTTTTAATTCTCAGCATACATAGACAGATCTCAAAATTGGAGCATATTGTCACCTATTTAGACATGTATAAAGGAATTTTAAATTAAGTTCTTTTCAAAAAGGTAATTCAACTTAGCCAAAAACAACTTGAAAGCAAGAAATACAATTACAGAAGATGCTAATTAATCATAGCTTCTCAGAGTCACATTAAAAAAATAAAATAAAATCGCATTCTTCCCCTTGGAAGATCCACAGAAGGCAGCAAATCACTGTGTCAAAATACTTACTAAATTGCTAGTATTCTGGGAAAAAACAGGTAATTAAGTCACAGTAATTCTTGAATTATTTAAGGACTGTCCCACCAAATATGAGTGTTTAGTATTTTTACCACTGAAGTAACTTTGTCTTGAAATTGTTTTTAAGATCTCATACGCTCTTTTTGAAACATTCCTGTCTATGCAAGGACTTTTCCTATATATTGTGTGCTTTAATGAGACTTCAAAAGGTAACTATCTTATGTGTCTACATAGAGAGACTTCCTGGGGTACCCAGTAACCCAGATTATCTGATTGTGCAGAAATACAACTATCAAATGTAAATGTACAGAGACTAGGAGATTTATAGATGGAAAAAAATGCCTTGGACTTGGGGAACGCCACGTATTACCAACGTAGACACCTGACATACTGGCTTTCACACTGACGCTGAAACAGAAGTTCCAAGTTATAGTCAAGCTAAACGAATAGCTCACTTTCAAGAAAACTCTCACATCCTCTCCTCTTCCACAGTCCCTCTTTTCTCCGCTTACTCCACCCCTCATGCTCATCTAATTAAATGATAATGCATTAAGCTAGCTAGCCTAACCTGTTTGCAGCTGGAAGAGGCTAGATTTCTGCCATTTTAGTGACCTAATGTAAAGCGTGAACCAGGTCAACATCTTACCACTGTCAATTCTTTGCCAGCTGCTTTCCGGAATGCTTTGGTCCATCTCATCTTTCTGGGATTTCGCTTCTTTTTGAAGTTTCTGTGGCATTTTGATTTGCAGAATCTAAATATCTTAAAGAAGAAGGGGGGGGAGAAGCTTACAGTCAAATCATGTTATTCCCGCCCCACTGCAAGCACGATATCAGACACTGACATTTCTCTAACAATACTGCTCACCGTAAACGACATTCATCTTTCAAATTTCAGTATTTTTAGTTCAAATATAGCTATTAACAAGAAGAATTTCAAGCACTATTCTTGTTTTTTCATTATAAAGTCATTTTCACAGCTGTCAGGGACATGCACAAATACTTACAATTAAGCTGATTATAAGTAAAATATACCGGAGTTGTGAGAATTATCACCTGCAAAAATAACTATAAAACCAAATCTCTACTATGAATAAACAGTTTTCTATACCTGTCAGCACTTTTTAGATACAGTGCCATCTCGACAACAACAAAAAATCCTCACACCTCTCATATAACATTTTTGAATGCAATACACATAGACACACACACAAGTCTATCTTCTGGAATGTAGATTTAATCCTGAAAGATTACCCTGCAGCAGGAGTCCTAAGCACATTAGTTAAGCCCTGGACTGAAATTACTGAAAGCTGCTAAAGTATATGCCAAAACATTCTAAGTGACCTTTTTTTTTTTTTTTCCTTCTTCTCCCCCCCCCCCTTCCATTTTTCCACACACTCTACAGAATGCTAGACTCATTTTAGGCACCAGCCACTGCTAGCCATGCAAGCGCCTTATGTTTATGCAGGTCATCTTCTCAGGCCCATTAAAGACGCATAAAGAAACTTCACTTTCCATACTTGAAATTTCCCTTTTCTTAGTATTGAAATTATGTAACTAACAGCCAAGCTAAAGAACAACTCTCTATCCCAAACTGTCCCAAATCCAACAGACATCTTCCAGTCAAAAAGACTGTAGCAAGATGGCAGTAAGATAAGGGGGGGAGAAGGGACATAATCACATCCCTATTTACAGATCTTAATCATCCCTAAATTTGTGCATCACTTTGAACTATCCTCGGCTGTCTAGTACCCAGAGCAGAACTGAAACTTTACTTAAGAACACTCAAAGTTACATTCATGAGATTTTGAAAACCCTATTCTTCTTCAACCATGCTCTTCTTCCCATCTAATAGCCACTTCTAAAGAAAATGAATAGAAAATACGAAACCTCTAGGAAAGGTAATTATCTTCAAATTTATTTTTTTTTTACATTCTTCTACCACATTTTTTCACCTTAACTCAGACAAATCTGCCATTATATTTTGCTTTTTCATAATTACCTGTTCACAACTATCCTGCCATTGTGCTAATTTTTTTCTTTTTTTAAAAAACACACACCTTGTGGCTGTTTTCTAGTCAATGGAACTGTGTCAACCTGCATCTATCCCTACATTCCCAAAAGCTGTGACTCAGATGAGCACTACAGTTGAGCCAGTATTTGTTCTGATGTCCGAGCATGAGAAGGAAGCTATTTGCATAAGCTTCATTTCACACTGGGGTCTCCAATGCCCTCTAGGAGTGATAAGGAGTACGGCAGAGCTGGGAAACTATACACAACATTTTATGTACAAAATCATCACCGTAACGTAAAGCCCAAAGTGCTACGCACACCCTGTTATCACTTACTCAATCGGGTAAGTCACATCAGGTATCTGAGGGAGTTACAACTTTTAGTAGAGGACCATGAGAGAGACGTGAACCATCAGCTTTAGTACACAGTGTCCGTAATCTAGATTGTTCAAAGCTTTAGAATCACCTACTATTAATCTGAAGCCTCCACTTCTCCAAAATCAGAAAATTAAAGGATGAAGATTTTGTATTACTCTGCGAAGCATATAATTTCTTAGTAAAAACTGAAAACAAATAATTCAGCGCACAGTCTTCCCGACAGCCACAACAGCGGCCAAATTACAGTATCACTCCACGCGACGGCTCCCACCTAGCAAACAGATCGTC